TACAGTGGCACAATCTCAGCTCACTGCAGCTTCTGCCTCCCTGGTTCAAGTGATTTGCCTGCCTCAGCCTCATGAGTATTTGGGATTACAGGCACGCATCACCACGCCCAGCTAATTTTTGTGCTTCTAGTAGAGACGTAGTTTCTCCATTTTGGCCAGGCTAGTCTCAAACTCCTGGCCTCATGATCCGCCCACCTCTGCCTCCTGAAGTGCTGTGATTACAGGCATGAGCCACTGCACTCAGCCTGTTACTTAGTTTTTTTTTTTAAGAGACCAAGTCTCACTATGTTGCCCAGCCTGGAGTGCAGTGGCCATCGATCCTCCCATCTCAGCCTCCCAAATATCTGGAACTACAGGCACGCACCCCCACACCTGGCTATTATTTAGTTTTAAAAAGTCAATTCAGGGAATGCATCAGCAAGATGGTGACCTAAAACACTCCAAAGCCTTGTTTCTGTTAAAAGAAAAAAACTTTATTGCAACTCTGAAAATCAGACAGAAGTACACAGCAATTGAGAAAATGCCCAATTCAAGAAAAAGCCATATTCAAAGGGAATAGGGAATTCTGTGGTATTTTCACTCATTTTTGCCCACTCCCTTCCTACCAAGGTACAGTTTGGGGAACGAGTGACCCATCTCCAGTTCTGTGTGAACTGAAGAAAGCAGAGAGAGGGTTGGATTTACAACACTCTAAATGTGTCTGTAGGCTGCCTGTGGGGTTAGTCTCTGTATACTCAACTTGAAGGACCGTGGGCCAACAGTGGCTTAAAACCTGGACTAGGAGAAGCCATGAAAAGACAATTTATAAAGTCTGCAAGGGAATTACAAACCTGCAGACTACTAAAGCAAGCTACTGATTGAAGAATGCAACATAACAGCTAGGACATCAAAAATAAGCGGAGGTAAGCCTCTTAGAGGAATGGCAAAATTTTTAAAGCAACCATCATGAAATGGAATAACCAGAACCATGTGGAATATATAGGCAAAAAAGACTCACAGGAAGGCTCAAGAAAGAAAAATACCTAGAAAAGGTTACAGCAGACTTTAAGCCTGCAAGCTGACCTATTAATAAAGATATTCCCTTGCACTAAGCCAGTCCAAAGACCGAAGGAAATGAGTGCTTTCTCAAATGCTCGGATGACTCCTCCCACCAGGTGTGGTGGCTCATGCTTGTAATCCCAGCACTTTAAAAGGCCAAGGTGGGTGTATCTCCTGAGGTCAGGAGTTCAAGACCAGCCTAGCCATCACATTGAAACCCCATTTCTACTTAAAAATACAAAAAATAGCCAGGTGTGGTGGCGGGCCCCTGTAATCCCCGCTACTTGGGAGGCTGAGGCAGGAGAATTGCTTGAATCCAAGAGGCAGAGGTTGAAGTGAGCCAAGATGGTGCCAGTGCACTCCAATCTCAGTTGGAGAAACACAGTCAGACTCACTTGACAAACACTTTAAGATATCAGTGCAGTGGCTCATGCCTGTAATCACAGTACTTTGGGAGGCAGAGGCAGACGAATCACCTGAGGTCAGGAGCTCAAGACCAGCTTGGCCAACATGTTTAAAGCCCATCTGTACTAAAAATATAAAAGCTAGCTAGGCGTGGTGGTGCACATCTGTAATCCCAGCTACTCGGGGCCTGGGCACGCTGAGTCTCGAAAATCACTTGAACCAGGGAAGCGGAGGATGCAGTGAACTAAAATCTCGCCACTGACCTCCAGTCTGGGTGACAGAATGAGACTCCATTTCAAAAAAAATTTTTTTAAATGTAGAAAAAGGTCAAATATGCTCAATGAACTAAAGAAAAAGGAGCCTGAAGACAATTAGAAAAATGCTTTACAAAAAAAACAAGCATGTAAACAACAGAGAAAAATAATAATAAAATACCAGGGGCTGGGCACAGTGGCCCACGCCTGTAATCCCAGCCTCTGGGAGGCCAAGGCCATTTGTGAACTCACCTGGAGTTCACAACCAGCCTGACCAACTCGGAGAAACCACATCTCTGCTAAAATACAAAATCAGCCAGGCATCGTGGCGCATGCCTGTAATCCCAGCTACTCAGAAGGCTGAGGCAGGAGAATCAGTTAAGCCCGGGAGGCAGAGTTTGTGAGTGGAGATGTGCCATCGCACTCCAACCTGGGCAACAAGAGTGAAACCCGTCTCAAAAACAAAACAAAACAAATCAACACATTAATTAGGTATATGGAAATACAGAAACTGAATTCAAAAATTCATGACATAGGTTCAGCAGGAAACTTCAATAGGCAGGACTGACAATCAGAACTTGAGAACAGATCATTTAAAATCAGACTAAGTGGACAAAAAAGAAGTCAAAAGTAGGCAAACCTGAGAGATTTATGGAATACCACCGTGTGGAAAAATACAAACATTATGAACGTCCAATATACAGAAGATAAAGAAACAGAGATCTTATATGGAGAAACAGTGGCCAAAACTGTGCCATATTTGAGGACAAATATGGGTACATACAAATACAAAGCTCAGTACCTCTAAGACGCAAGACACACCGTGAAAGACCAACACCAAAAAACATTATATAAAGAAAGCATCTAGAAATTAGTGAGAAAAGTTAACTATTCACATACCAAAAACAAAACGACAACAACAACAACAATAAAAAACCCTCAAAAAAGATAACAGCTGATTTCTCACTAGAAAGTACTGAGAGAAAAATATTATCAAATAATAATTTGGTAATATTTAATTTGGTAATATTTGGTAATAATTATCAAATAATTTGGTAATAATTATCAAATAATAATTTGGACTGCAAACAGTCCTTGAAATTAAGACATTTCTAGACAAACAAAAGCTGCTAAAGTCCATTACCTGACTACAAAAATGCTAAACGAAGTGAAGATTGGAATACAAAGGCCCTTGGTGATAACTCAATGCCATTTTAAAAAAATTAACAAATCTGTGGTAAAGAAAAATACACAAACATTTATAAAACCCAGCATTACAATAATTTTGGCTTAAAACTCCTACAGAATTTGAGTGGCCAAAGAATTTAAAGTCTTATGTCTGTATTATACATAAAAAAATAATTTGTGATGTCAATAACATAAATTGGAGCAGTGAAGTGTAAAGGAGATTAAGTATGCAATTGAAATCAAGTTGGTATGGGTTTAAAATAGACTGTTACAGCTATTATAATAGTATACAGGCATACCTCATTTTATTATGCTTTGCTTTACTAAACTCTGAAGATATTACGGGTTTTTTACAAAGTAAAATTTGTAAAAACACTGTGTTGTATTTTTTTAGCAATAAAGCACTTTAAAAATAAGGTCTATGCATACACATATGTATCTTTTTGCAGACAGGGTCTCAGTCTGTCACCCAGGCTGCAGTGCAGTGGTGCAACATTGGCTCATTACAACCTCCGCCTCCCAGATTCAAACAATTCTCCTGCCTCAGCTTCCCTAGTAGTAGGGACTATAGGTATACATTGGCACACCAGACTAATTTTTTTGAAAATTTAGTAGAGATGAGGTTTCACCATGTTGCCCAGGCTGGTTTAAAACTTCTGAACCCAGGCAAACTGCCTGCCTCGGCGTCCCAAAAATGCTAGGATTACAGGCATGAGCCACCACACCTGGCCAGTCTATACATTTTTTAAAGACATAATGTTATCACATGCTTCACAGACTAAGTATAGAGAAAATTATATATACATTGGGAAAGAAAAATACTCTGCAACTCTCTTTACTGTGGTAATTGCTTTATTGCAGTGGTCTGGAACAGAACCCATAATACTATCTCCAAGGTAAGGCTGTATGTAATCTCCATGGCACCAGCAAAAACATATTATGGAACATGCCCCAAAAGGAAATGAGAAGAATCACAGTACATCAGTACAAAACAATGTGAAGGACTGAAATTATGAAAATAAAGGCAGTAGGTGAGAAAATGATACAGAAAAAAGCTGTAAGACATCAGAAAACAAAAAAATGGCAGTGGTGACTCCTTCCTTATCACTAATTATTCTGAATATAAGTAGACTGAATTCCCAAATCAAAGGATACAGATTGACAGAATGGATTTAAAAAGCATACACCATCTAAAAAAGACTCACTTTAGACTTAAGTATGCACACAACTTGTAAGTTAAGAACAGAAAACAATTGGGAGGCCAATGTGGGTGGATTACCTGAGGTCAGGAGTTTAAGACCAGCCTGGCCAGCATGGCAAAACCCCATCTCTACTACAAATACAAAAATTAGCCAGGTATAGTTGTACATGACTGTAACCCCAGCTGCTTAGGAGGTATAAGAATTCCTTTAATCTGGGAAGCGGAGTTTGCATTCAGCCAAGATCATCCAGTACACTTCAGTCTGGATGACAGAGTAAGACTCTGCCTCAAAAACAAACAAACAAACAAACAAACAAATAAAACAAACAGTAACTAAGAGAGAACATATTTTGCTGATATGAAGCAAAATAAATTTTAGATAACATCCTCTCAGAAGATGCAAAGAAGGATGTTATATAATCATAAAAGGGTGAATTAACTACAATTATAAATATACATACACCAAAACTTCAGAACTGCTGACTATGTGAAGCAAACATTAAAGGACCTAGAGAGAAATAGTTACATAAAACTAGTCAGACATTTCAATACCATATTTCCAATCAGAAAAAATGTCATTAAGCTGAGTTCAGAAGTTGACATTAGAAGTTTAAGACCAGCCTGAACAACATGATGAAACTCTTATCTCTACTAAAAATATAAAACTCAGTCACAAGTGGTGATAGTTGTCTGTTCTCCCAGCTACACAGGAGGCTGAGGCAGGAGAACAGCTTGAGCCTAGGAGACAGAGGCTGCTGTGAGCTAAGATCATACCACTATACTCCAGCCTAAATGACAGGGCAAAGCCCTGTCAACAACAACAAAAACAACATCAATAAGGAGAAAATGGTCTTGCATAACACTAGAGAACAAGTCGACCTAACAAATATTTATGGAACACTCTACATGAAAGTATAAGAATATACATTCTTGTCAAGTACACTGGGAACTTTCATCAGGACACATTACATATCTTAACAAATCTTAACAAATTTAAGACTGAACTCATGTAAAGTATCTTTCCAGATCAGGATGAAAGGAAACCAGGAATCAATAGCAGAAGAAAAACTGAAAAATCAGCCAGGTGTGCTGGAAGGCAGAGGCAGGCAGATCACTTACCCGAGTGTGGTGAAACACACCTGTAATCCCAGCTACTCTGCAAGCTGAGGCAAGAGAATCACTTGAACCTGAGAGGCGGAGGTTGCAGTGAGCCAAGATCAGGCCGCTGCACTTTAGCCTCAATGAAAAAGCAAGACTCTGTCTCAGAAGGAAAAAAAAAAAAAAGAAAAACTGAAAAATCCATAAATAAGTTTAAATTAAACTACACTCCTTAAAAAACCCATCCATCAAAGAGGAGAAATCCAATATAAAGTATAATATTTGAGGCAAGTAAACATAAAAACTTATCAAACTTACAAGATGCAGCAAAAGCTGTGCGAAGAGAGAACTTCATAGTAAAGGGTTTTTTTTAAAAAAAAAAGATCGCCAACCAACAACCAAAATTTACACCTTAAAAAAAACTACAAAAAGAAGTCAGTCTCGATTGCTTATGCCTGTAATCCCAGCACTTTGGAAGGCTGAGGTGGGCAGATCACCAGAGATGAAGAGTTCAAGACCAGCCTGACCAACATGGTGAGACTCCGTCTCTACTTAAAAATACGTAAGTTAGTCAGGTATTGTGGCAGGTACTTGTAAACCCAGCTGCTCAGGGAGCTGAGGCATGAGAATCACCTGAACCCAGAAGGAGGAGGCTGCAGTAAACCGAGATTGCACCACTGCACTCCAGCCTAAGCAACAGAGCAAGACCCTGTCTCAAAAACAAAATCAAACAAACAAGAAAAGAGTAACAAAATAAAGTCAAAGATAGCAACAGAATGGAAATACAAGAGATTACCAGAAATAGAGAACAGAAAAACAACAAGACCAAAATTTGGTTCTTGAAAAAAATAAACAAATTCATGTTTGTCTAAGAAAAAGAGAAGACTCAAATAACTAATATCAAAAACAAAAGAGGAGACATTAGGTACATTATAGAAATAAAAAAACGCGAAAGTACAAGAACCTCTGCATCCTAAAAGGCTGGATAACCTGGATAGTAGTACACCTTTCTAGAAATACACAATCTACACAAGACACAATCATGAAGAAATAGAAAATCTGAATAGGCCCATAACTATTCAGGAGTCTTAATCAGTAATCAAAAATACCCCAATAAAGGAAAGCCCAAACAAAACCCAATCACTTCACTGGAGATTTCTGCGACACACTTAAAATAATTAACACCAATCATTCTCATACTCTTCCTAAAAAGTGATGAAGAAAGAATATATCCCAACTCATGAATGAGGACAGCATTACCCTGACATCAAAACAAAACAAAGAAACTACCCCAAAAAAAAAAAAAAAACCCCTACAGACTAATCTCCCCTATAAATGTTGATGCAAAATTCCTCAGGACCAAGTGGGATTGTTTTTTTCCTGGAATGAAAGACACTTCAACAAATATCCAACAATAAGACACAAAACTATCAGAAGGAAGAGGGAAAAAAGCACATGATCATTTCCATCAATGCAGAAAAGGCACCTGACAAAATTTTACACCACAATGATAAAACCACTAAACAAACAAGAAATAGAAATAAATGACACTAACATAATAAAGACCTTAGGTAAAATGCTCTTGGTTAACATGATAGTCAATGATGAAAGAGTAAAAGCTGTTTAAGATCAGGAATAATAAAGAAAGGCTCCTTTTGCGATTTCTGTTCAACATACTAGTTAAGTCCTACCAATGGAAATTACACAAGAGAACACAGTAAGAGGATTTATCGAGTTTGGACCAATGGAAAAGAAAAAAGGAAATTACCTCTATTCACAGAAATTTTATGCCACTTTAAAGGAATTCTGTATCATTTTGTCTTTTTTGATTTCACTGTGTGTGTGTGTGTGCGTGTGTGTGTGTGTGTGTGCGCACGGTGCGTGCGTGCACATGTGCATATGCAGTACACTTTCCAAAACCATGTTCTACTTTCTTTTTCCATAGCTGGTTAAGTTTATTTTTCATGCGCTTAAATATTAATTCAATTTCACATGATCAAACTGACTTTGAGATATAAAATAGCCATTATAGTAATATTAAAGATACCGACAGATTAAAGTGAAAATATACAAAACTGGGTGATGTTTGCATAGCCTTGCCTGCTCGTGCAGTGGTTTTGGCTGTTTTTTTCATTTTTGGCTTTTTTTATGTACAGATTTTGTCTATCCTTCCTTGAAAAAAAATGTAATTTTAACAAGTATAAAGCAGATTAAACTTCCCTTTGAGGTACAATTACAAAGCTTATTATATGATCCAAGATTTAGCTGTTGAACACTGAGAGATCTTCTCCTAAGAAAAGCAGGCATTACAAGAAATGCCTAATTGTATGTCATGAAAGCAAAATAGCACAATTTTTAAATCTGAGTTTAAAGTCTGTAAATATATGTTAAGTGCTATGCTGTTTTAAAAAAATATCCACATGCAGTACAAAGAACAGTCCAAGCTTATCTGCAGTAACTGAAGTTTCTAAAGTAGCTATGAACAATAAATTAGGAAATACTGACTTCTCAAAAAAACATAAGGTTATGTTCCAGGGAGCATATTCAATCAATACATAATAATCTCTGTTCAGGCATGAGTTACATGGTTATTGACCATGATTTCAAGATTACTGAATCAAGAATGCCTATTAACAAGTCTTTAAGCAGAAACTCACACAGAACAAGATTATATATTGACTAGTTAATCATTAAGGGAGGTTCACATCATTAATGGTTTGTAGCAAATGCAAAAAAAAATAATATTTAACCTTGAAAGTAACAAACCAACACACTTTTGGTGATTGAGGATCTGAAGAACTTGCAAATACTTCATCTTCAGGCAATTGAGCATTTGAGGAAACTGATTCACATGGATGGGTACCATTGTAGATATGAAACTTGCAATGAGGATTTAAGGCCATGGCGAGAAGTTCTAGGAGTGGAAACCAATCTTGGGACAACTTGGCCACACAAAGCTCCACTAGGCGATGAGTATTGTTAATAATACATCTCTGTTACATGGAAAGGATATAACACAGTTTACAGTAAGAAAGTTTTGCAATTTCACTCAAATTTAATAATTAATAATAATCTCCATTATTATGTACTAGCCATCTTAATTCTGCTTAATTTCACTAATATCATGATCAAGGTAAGACATTGGTAAAGATAAATATTTACTTCATAATTTTGAACCTAATATGAAAAGCTATTTGAGAAAGATAACAAATAAAGTAGGTAACATAGTTTGTCTATTTCTTCTTTATGTCCACAGGACACACACAAATTACCACTTTTCTCTCTGAAATTTGTACTTTAGAGCAAACATTTAAAGTTTTGTTTTTAACCTCTCAACTCAAAAGCCACGAAATTTCAATTTCCACAAGTAAAAAAAAACGCTACACATCAATTCAGGGCTGCTGGCATATGTATGCCACGATCATTCATGGAAAATGTCTAGTTGTATTTTATAGGTTGAAGTAATCAAAAAATATGTATTTGCTTCATAACTTTTGGTTAATTGCATTTCTTAACAAGGACCGGAGGCCTGAAGTATACACAGTAATTCAGTATAAAGATACATTATTTTTTGTCACTTTAAAAATCTCTGGAATATGAAGATATCTTATAATAGAATCAAGATACTTGGCAGTTTATAATACCTAGGGTACTAGACTTATGGTATTACCCAAGATTATTTGTTCTTCCTTTTACCTGTCTCTTGAAGACACTACTAATCTGAGAATGTACTAAATTCTGTTTGATTTTTTTGGCATCAAAACTAAGTCTGAAATTTTCTCTACACAATTATGTAACAGACTTTAGAATTACTATACTCTGGAAAAGAGTTTATTTGCTTTATATTTGTGCACAGTAAGTTTCTTTACCATTTCCACTTGCACTGAAATTACATCCTTTGTTATTCCAGATACATTAAAGAGTCTGCTATTATATTCTCCATCATAAATATTTTTTATCTCAAGTGATACAAAATAGTCATGGCTTTTCTAATCAACACTTATCAGTCATTCGATGAAATACATTGTATTGTCCATAAGGTTACAAGGTCTTTGAAATTTCGGGTGATGGATTAAACCAAGCTTTACTAAGTAAATATCTCAAGTGCATTCTGAAACACACCATGCCAACCTTCAATTATGCAGTATATATCAGCAGACTTGATATATTAATGTTACACAAAGTATATTTTCCAAAAACAAATTCACAGGAACCACCAAGTAAATCTAAGTCCCAGAAATGAAATACAAGACTCACATGAATTTCAAACTTCCACCCACTCACAGCCTCATCCATAAGGATTCTAGTGAAAGATACTGTTAGTCCATCTCGAAAAAAACGTTGGCATGCTTCACTTTTAACATCAAGACCTAAAAAAAGAGCCAAAGAATGTTTTTAAAAAATTTTATTTGTCCAATTATATGACTAAACACAATAAATTGCTAGAAACTATTATGGTCTCCAATTCACAAGTAGAGTTACGGTTTTTGAAATGAGACATGACATTATAAAATGTCAAAAAAAGTGAAAAAATGGCCAGGCTCACTGGCTCACGCCTACAATCCCAGTACTTTGAGAGGCCGAGGCATGCAGATCATGAGGTCAGAAGATTGAGACCATCCTAGCCAACATGGTGAAACCTTGTCTCCACTAACAAAAATACAAAAATTAGCTGGGCATGGTGGCAGGTGCTTGTAGTCCTAGCTACTCAGGAGGCTGAGGCAAGAGAGTCACTTGAACCTGGGAGGCGGAGTTGCAGTCAGCTGAGGTCAAGCCACTGTCCTCCAGCCAGGGCCACAGGGCAAGTCTCCAACTCACAAACTAAAACAAAAAAAGGTACAAAAATATGGGATTTCAGAAAAAGGAATGAAACATACAGTTCAGTAAATTCTAGAAACAGTTGTATAAAGCTACCTCAAATCAATGTAACTAACTGAAACAGCTTGAAAATATGACATCAGACCTTTAATGTTTAACAGATGAATCCTAAGTTTCTTTTTTCTTTTTACTTTTACCTGATTTAAGAAAAGCAAGATCCATATGCCTCCATTAAAAAAAAAAAAAAAAAGTAACTCTTTGAAACAATCTTGCTCTGTTTCCCAGACTAAAGTCCAGGGTATAACCTCAGCTGGCTGCAACCCTAGCTGGGATTACAGGCATGCATCACCTGGTTTCTTTCTGTAGTTTTAGTATAAATGGCATTTTGCTATAATGGCCAGGCTGATCTCAGACTCCTGATCTCAGGTAATCTTCCTGCCTCAGTCTCCCAAAGTGCTGGGATGACAGAAATGAGCCACTATACTCTGCCAGAAAACCTGTAGCTCTTAAAGCAACTCAAAACATTAAATATATACACCAAAGCGTATCTTAAGCTTAAATATATACATACTCCTATATCATTTAAACCAGTTTAATCTTTTAGTGTTTTACAGTAATTTATAATCCCAGAAAACACAACTGAGGAAAAGTCCCTGCAAATGACATAAATCCACTGAATATCAACGTTATTAAATGAAATATCACTTCCAGTTTTTGTTCATTTTGCAGTGTTAGAACCTAGAACATACCTAGAACAGAAGTCCTTGACATTTGCTGAGTTAATGAATAACTATACAATTAACAAAAGAAATTCAAATGAGAAATATTTTCAATCTGCCAATATATTTTCAAAGGTTACTAGATCACATGTCTATAAGATAAGATCAATAAAACGACAGAATGGTCATTAAATGACTATAGGATAGTTACTATTAGTTAAATGAAATTATCAACCACAGAGCCAGACTTAGCAACAGAAACACTTAGAGGGTACCAAAGGAATTAAAGATTTGCCTAGTAACACTGACAGTTAAGTTCCTGTTGAATGGCACAAAAATTAAATGCTTCTGACCTTTCTTACGACCTTAGAGTCCTTAAAAAAATAAACAGTATTACAAAAACTGCTCAACCACTTTTACTGCACCTAGAATTACAACAAAATCATCCAACATGTTCCATTCAAACCCAGACCTCTTACTGTGGCTAACAGTAGAAATATCAAATTTTCTTCATAGGTTGCTTTTTTGAAAAAAATAAGACTTCATCTTTTAAGACTTTTTTCTTTTTGAGAAAACCCTTTAAGTCTGTGTTAAGAAGAAAGAAAAGCTACATATATATAAGCTATAAAACGTATACACTCAATATTAGTGAAATAGTGATTTTCACGTAAAAAAAGAGATAGGGCTTTTCTCAGTACATGTTCTTTGATTCACTGGCTTTTCAGTAAGCAGGTCAAACATGCCAGGTTTAAATAATTATTGCTGGCCAGGCATGCCTGTAACCCCAGCACTTTGGGAGGCCAAGGCAGGCAGATCACCTGAGGTCAGGAGTTTCAGACTAGTTAGCCTGGCTAACACAGTGGAATCTGTCTCTATTAAAAATACAAAAAAAAAAAATTAGCCAAATGCAGTGGCGCAAACCTGTAGTCCCAGCTACCTGAAAGGCTGACGTTGGAGAATCGCTTGAACCAGGGAGGCGGAGGTTGCAGTAAGCTGAGAACACGCCACTGCACTCTAGCCTGGGTGACACAGCAAGACTCCCATATCCAAAGGAAGAAAAAAAAAAAAAAAGGCTGGGCCTACTCATTACATCTGCAATCCCTGCACTTTGGGAGGCCAATGTGGGTGGATTACCTGAGGTCAGAAGTTTGAGACCTGCCTGGCCCCCATGATGAATCCCCGTCTCTACTAACAATTCCAAAAATTAGCTGGGCATGGTGACTGGCACCTATAATCCCACGGTAGGGAGGCTAAGGCAAGAAAATCGCTCGAACCCAGGATGCTGAGGAGATTGCACCATTACACTTCAGTCTGGGCAACAAGAGCAAAACTCCATCTCAAAAATAAATAAATAATAAATAAATAAATAAATAAATAAATAAAATTATTGGCAAAATTATTTGCAAATAAACGTATTTCTCAACTACATATAAGTGCAAAAAGTCACCAAATATATGACATCATACAGTAACTAGTACTTTTTAACTGTAAAATATGCTTTAATGCACATTAAAGACTTTAGAGCTATCATATTCTGGAAAATATCTGCTAACTTTTTAAACATTTAAAATATATACATTCTCACCTTAGAAATAGGATTATACACATAAAATTCTGCATAATATTTAAATGGCTTGAGATATCTCTAAAAGCTATCTAAAGGATTGTATGAACCTTTGCTATAGGAGAGTATGTAATGTGTATGTGTGTGTGTCTATATGCACATATGCAACATGTATATACAATATGCATGTATGTATGTAAAATAATCCTTACCAGCAAGCTTTGTGACATAAACTAGGAATAATCATAGCACCTTTATAACAGAGGAGAGAAAAGCCTTTAAGAATAAGGTGTAAGTATATACAGTAGCACATACTATTAGAAAACCTACATCCAAACTCACCTTTTATACTAAGATCAATAGCGGCTTCTAAAAGCACTTCTAATTCCCCTTTTGGCAAAACAGGAACCACCCACTGAGGCCTAAGAATAATTACAAAACAAAAAGAAGCTTTACTGGTTGCACACTGATGAAACATTATAAATAAGTTACCTACTAAAATTACTGTACTATGAAAAAATAAATTCTAACTATATTATATTCATCATAAACACTTTTGAAAATAAGTGGGCAAATTATCTACACTGAAAAATTAAGAGACATCATCTATAGTGTCAACACATAGAATTTTTTAGGCACTGTCAATGAGATACAGCAATGGCAAGGAATTATTTTAATAGCTTCCAAAGAATGCTAAAACTAACCTATTCGATTATCAATTAAATGTATACCTTTTTTTAGTAGGAAAATGCTCTTTGGGGGCTCATATTTATTAGTAGAAGACATAGTGTGACAAACATTTTGTTTTACTTCTCTTCATAAAGACATAAGAAATTAGGAGATCTCAACAAGACATTTATCTCAACTTTTCCTAAAGATCACGTCTCAGCTGTGGGCCTCTAAACCTACTGTCATAGGTACGTTCACCCATCAAAAGTCAATACAGAAACCCTCTGTCATCGTATGTATATTCCTATATTAAAAGGTGATGCAAAGGCCACCATGCACTCACCTGATTTCCTTAGTTTCATAAAAAGTTCAGCTTTCTGCAACTATGTCTACTAACTAACCCACTACTCCCCAGAAACAACTTTCTTTCATCAGTCCCTTAATTCTTGTGCTGAGACAGCAAAATTTCCCAAATAATCTGTTTTTTTCTTAAAAGGTGCCTCATTACATATAATCTGTTAAAGGTAAACTTATTCTATCCTTTTTGTTTCTTTTATATATACAAAAAATATCTTTTCTCACTGCCACTAAGGATTTACTAACAGTTTCAGTTTTCTAGTCTTATGAAAAATACACTCCAACAGAAATCAGCAACCACCACACAAAACAGAGAAAGAAGCAATACAAGCTGCAATAACCTCTCTGCTATAGCAAATGGATATTCCACAACTGAGAAAAGTCATCCAAAACTCTGGTATAAAGTTCATACCAAAGAGAAATATTTGCAAACATTCAAAACAAAAGAACTACTTAAATATCTATGCTAGAAACACAAAAACCTGTCACAGGGCACCATTAATCTGAAACTGTATTCATATTGTCATTACCTTCCAATATTTAAAATCCATAAGAAATGTCTGCATTAAGTACAATGAGCTGCAAAATGTTCCACTATGACTAAAATGTTAAGGCTATTAAAATAGTAAGACTTGAAGCACTGCAACTACTCTTTTCTTTTTCTCATTTACTACTAGTTACAATGCCAGTAGTAAGCAGCTGTCCTTTTCTAGTTTATTACATCCATATCCATTAACAAAACAATTCCAAACAAACGTGCCTGTTGATCATGTCATCCAGCTTTGCCAGTTCACTATGTGGAAAGGCAGGTTCTTCATCTTCATGCTGTGATGGGGCATCACCTTGCCCTTCTTCATCTAGGGGAGGAGTTGCTACGGAATTCTCATTGGAAGAATCAGGTGATGAGGTCTTAATTAAAAATTAAATATTCCAAATTTAAACCACAGATTAAGAAAAAATATCTATTTTTAAGTATCCATGTATATGCCCAAATATTTAATAAAACTGAGGTCACATTGTTTATCTATTTTTTAAAATTTTATTTCATCAATACAGAAGTATTTTCCCTCATGATTAAGAATCTTTTAAAAAACTAACTAAGGCTACACAGTACTGCATGAGTCGACTAAGCAAAAAATTACAGCACATATTTTGTCATGTTCACTGTTAATAAATACAATCATAATAATAAACAATATCCTTAAAGAGAGGATATTGAAGTAAAACTACTAAATTAACAAGATAATTCTTTTTAAGGCTATTAACATTTTATAACTATATTATAAAAGGTAGCACTAATCTTCACCCTGACATTCATGTTTGTGTTTACTTCACAGTGTTTTCATCAACTCTGCTTCACATAACTTAGTTTAAATATGCATTACAAAAATTCTGTAGAAACCTGATTTTTTAAAGTCTTATTTTTATAAATTATAATTACAGATTCGCAACCTGTTCCAAAAAACTCTACCTTCCTTAATAATAACCAGAAGTTTATATATAAAAATTCCTAACTAGGGATTATAGATCCCTATTGCTGTTATTTTATTTCTTCCTCAGTTTCCCTTGAGAGAGGCATACAAGAAATGGCAATCAAGTTGGATTCTCCAAAATATCATAAATTAACACCTTATCATTAAAGAGATTAAAATATTTAATTTAAGCAACATATAAATCTTCTTCCTAACAAATACCAAGTATGTTTTAGGAACAATTAAATTGAAAAGTGTGTCTGGAAGAGACTGTATAGAATTGACCTTATTTCTTCTTAAATGCTTAATAGGACTTTGCCTATGTTTTCTTTATTGCAGGGTTTTAAAACTAGAATTCGGTTTCTGTTATTTATTTCTTTTTCAGCCAACTTTTTCAGTCTTTCAGTCACCCAATTATCCTTCAATAGGCAATGAACAAACAAACTACTAAATTTATGCAATAAAATAGTACTTAGCAATTAACAGGAAAAACTTTTGCATGTAAAAACATGGAAGAATACTAATGCATAATGCCAAGTCTCCAAAGATTAACTCTGCATTATGTTTATATGAGAGTTTAGAAAAGACAAACTATGTGGCATGGTAGCTCGTTATCTGTAATACCAGTACTTTGCGGGGTGAAGATGGGAAAATTGCTTAAACTGGGAAACACTGGGAGACCCTGTCTATATTTAAGGAAAGAAAAGAAAAAGGCAAACCATACAAATGAAGAGCAGATTAGTAGTTGCCAGGAACTGAAAATGTAAGAGTTACATATACAGGGACAGTGCAAATAAATTTTTGTATTTTACATCTTCATTATACTGGTGGTTACAAGCCTTTCATGTGTCAAACACAATGCTGGAATGTTATGCTTAACAAGTGACACTTACTGTATGTAGCCAAGCAAACAGAAAATTAAAAAGCAAAAGAAATGGCCAGGCCTGTAATCCCTGCACTTTGGGAGACTGAGGTGGATCATGAAGTCAGGAGATCGAGACCAGCCTGGCCAACATGGTGAAACCCAGGCACTATTAAAACTACAAAAATTAGCTGGGTGTGGTGGTGTGCACCTGTAATCCCAGGTAATCTAGAGGCTGAAGCAGGAGAATCACTTTAACCTGAGAAGCGGAGGTTGTAGTGAGCCTAGGTTGCACCATTACACTCCAGCCTGGTGACAGATGCTGGAGTGTGGCATGGTTCTTTATGGCTTATCACATCCGTAATACCAGCACTTTGGGAGGTGAAGACAGGATGACTGCTTAAACCCAGGAGTTTGAGACCAGCCTGGGTAACACGGGGAGACCCTATTTCTATTTAAGGAAACAAAAGAAAAAGGCAAAACAAAAGTACCATGCACAAAGGCTTCACTTTCCAGGTCAGATGTGATACTTGGCAAAAGATTACTGCATCTGCCTATCACTGAAAAGTGGCTAAAATTAACTGCTTGTTTAAAAAAGTGCAGATGCTACCAGGGTAAAAAAAATGGAATATCCAGAAACATACAGACAAGATAAGTACGATTCATGATTTCATTCCAATACAACTATACCTACAGTGGATATGGGCAGCAGGCTTAAAACTAAAAATCCACTGCAAATCCAGGTGGAAAGTCACAGAAAGTGTGGGAACATGAGCTTTGGCAGAACTTTAACACATTATTTACATGGCTTGAAGCATAAACTTTGATTACCCATCAGGATATACTCTGGACGTTCAAGTACCTTAGTCACCCACTCCAGCCTGGGTGACACAGCCAGGCTCTGTCTCAAAAAAAAAAAAAAAAAAAAAAAAAAAAAAAAAAAAAAAAAAAAAAAAGAAGACTTATACAAAGTTTCTGTTCCGATCAGGATACAATGAAAGTAGAAATCAATAGCAGAAGAAGAACTGAAAAATCCATAAATAAGTAGAGTTTAAACAATACATCTTACATGACACATGCATCAGGGTTGGGTGCAGTGGCTCACACCTGTAATCCTAGCATTTAGGGAGGCCAAGGTGGGCAGATCAGGATGTCAAGAGATTGAGACCACCCTGGTCAACATGGTGAAACCGCGACTCTACTAAAACTGGAAAAATTACCTGTGCATAGTGTTGCATGCCTGTAATCTCAGCTACTCGGGAAGCTGAGGCAGAAGAATCGCTTGAACTTGGGAGGTGAAGGTTGCAGTGAGCATGTAACATCTCTTGCCACTGCAATCCAGCCTGGCCACAGTACGAGACTTGTCTCAAAAAAGACCCATCCATCAAAGCAGAAAAATCTAATAGAAACTGTGATATCTGAGACAAATAAAAACGAAAAAATACCAAACTTATGGGATGCAGCAGAAGCGGTGTTGAGGAAACCTTACAAAGCACTTTAAAAAAAAGATCTCAAATCAACAACCAAAATTTACACCTTAAAAAACTACTAAAAGGGGGCCGAGGGGCCAGGCACAGGGGCTCATGCCTGTAACCCCAGCACTTTGGGAGGCCAAGGCAGACCGATCACGAGGTCAAGTGACCTAGACCATCCTGGCCAACACAGTGAAACCTTGTCTCTACTAAAAATACAAAAATTAGCTAGGCATGGTGGCGCACGCCTGTGGTCCCAACTATTTGGGAGGCTGAGGCAAAAGAACTTCTTGAACTCAGGAAGTGGCGGTTGCAGTGAGCCAAGATCTCACCACTACACTCCAGCCTATCCACAGAATGAGACTCCACCTCAAAAAAAAAAAAAAAATTCTAAAGAATAACAAAATACATCTACTTTCCACAAAACGTTTCAGTTAAGGCAAACTATGTATATGGTCATCTCATAATATTGAAATATTGCATTTTTACTAAATTTTTTTCTGCTTAGAACTTACCATTGTATTACAAATACCTACTACATTCAACACATGCTAAGAGGTTAGTAGCCTATGGCAATAACTAGCCTACATGTGTAGCAGGTTTTTACCATCCAGGTTTGTGTGAACACACTGTGTTTGCAAGACAGTGAAATCACCTGACAATGCATTTCTCAGAACACACCATCTTCATTAAGTGGCACATTAGCATAAGCAAAAGACAACAGGGTAGAAATTGGCACAGATGTAAACAAAACAGAGACAAGAAAAACAACTGAGAAAAAGCAATTTAATCAAAATTCTGTTCTTGAAAAAAAAAAATGTCAAGCCTTTAGCAAGACTGACTAAGAAAAAGAGAAAAGTTGAATAATTAATATTAGAAATAAAAGAGGTATTACTATGGATTTTATAAAAAATTAAAAGGATTATCACTGCATCCTATGAACCACTGTATCCCTGCAAAGTGCATGACCTGGATAAAAGGACATATTTCTACATGCATACAACCACCAAGAATAAGTTATGAAGAAATTAAAAATCTGAGTAGATCTGAAACCTCTGTGGCAACTGTCTCAAGGTGTGAAAACCTAAACTGTAATTAAAGTATTATTGAAGGCTCCTGGTGTAAAGTATGCAATGCAAGTTAAAAACTACCAAGAAGCCCAATTTTATGGGAATGCACAATTTTTTTTTAACTTCTTCCTGAAAAGATCATAAAAAAGTCCTCTTAAGCTTCTAGGAGGGAAAGTTGCAAAGCAGCCATTTTGAAATACAGAAGAGCATTCTGTACTATTTAACAAGTAAACCCTCAGGACAAACTAGTTTACCTAGCCTACTAAGTTTTTTTTTTTTTTTTTTTTTTTTTTGCCTAACTGACCTAGGGGAAGAGAAATACTCAACGCTAGCTTGCCATAGCATTCTACAGCTAAAAATCCCAATTCCACCTCCCTGTATCTATCATGTTTCACCTAGGCCATAGCTCAAGGGCCACAGGTATACTACAACACTGAGATTTAGATTACAGATTGCTTCCCCTCCCCAAATACCTTACCTTATCAGTACATTACTATAGCTCATCTACCAAGGTTTCTTTCTACATGGTACTTTATGTGCACCTCTCAAGAAAAAATTACAATGCAAATTAAAAGGCAAAAAAACTGTTTGAAGAGACAGAGCAAACAACAAAATCACACTCATATATAACAAGAATGTTCAATTTATCAGATGGAGATTGGACACAGTTTCTCAAGCCTTTAATCCCAGCACTTTGGGAAGTGACTGCAGGTAGACAGCTTTAATTCAGGGGTTCAAGACTAGGCTTGGCAACATGGTGAAAAATCTATTCTACAAAACAACACAAAAATCAGCCAGGTGTGGTACCACATACCTGTAAGTCTGAGCCACTTGGGAGGCTGATGTGAGAGGATCACTTCTGCTTAGGAGATGGAGATTGTAGTGAGCCAAGATTATGCCCCCACACTCCAGCCTGGGAAACAGAATGATAGCTCATCTCCACATAAAAAGATTTATCAGATAGAAATTTAAAATAACTGCCATAAATATGCTAAGGGCTCTAATGAATAAAGCAGGTGACATGAGAAAAAAG